CTCGGCGCTGCCGGCAGCGGAGGCGGCTTCGACACGGCGGCGGCGATGGCGACGGCCGGTGCCCGCTCGGACGCCAAGACGTTCGTTAGTCCGGACCCGAGCCCCCCGCCGCCACTCGATGTCGACGGCGGCGGGCTTGCGTGGCGCTCCCGGTTGGTGGCGAGCCGCCAGGGCACGGACTCCGCCCCGACGCCGTCGTGGCTGCGTCTCGGGCGCGCGCCCTTCACATTCGACCCCGCTGAGACGGCTGCCCACCAGAGGGGCCGGGAGGCGCTGGAGGGCGGCGAGGCGAGCAGGGGCGCTGCACCAGCCAAAGGCGGCGGCCGTAAGGGGGGCGGCAAGGGGGGCGGCAAGGGGGGCGGCAAGGGGGGCGGCAAGGGCGGCGGCGGCGCCTCGCGGGGCGGCCGCGGCCGCGGTCGGGGTGGGGGTGGACAGAAGGGAGGAGGGCGGAAGGGCGGTGGAAGGGCGCAGAGAGGAGGGGGCGATTGAGTCACGGATCAGCGCATCGATTTTTGGTGTTCACACCCTTGTGTCGCATATGAATTATATGATACTTCATACTCCGTGAAGCGTAGAGACAAATACTGCATTTTGAATAAGACGTTAAGAGTGAGTCCTGGTGAACTCTCTCCACGCACGCCGCCTATAATCTATGGACTATGCCACGGAAACACCGCTGCCCGCGCCAGCTAGCACCTGCTCGCGTCCACGCTCCACGTGCCGCTCGCCCAGTCGACGGTGTACTCGCACCGGCGGTACGCGTCGTCCTCCCACGGCAGCTTCGGGTAGCGCGCGCCGCGGTCGGCGTACACCGCCTCGACGGTGGTGAGCCTCGCCTCCCAGCTCGGTCGCTCGAGCCAGCAATCGCCCGCCTCGTCCACCGGCCGCGTCGCGTGCGTCGCTCGCAGCAGCTCGCGCATGTAGGCCCACGCGGAGGTGGTCCCTGGGCCGCGGGCGCTCGTCGAGGTGTAGTGGAGGTCTTGGTCGCGGCTGCCGACGGCGTCGCGCATCGCGGCGACCCACGCCTGGCGCCGCGCCGTCGCCTCCGCGCCGTGGAGCGCTGCGTCGGGCTTCGCCCACTGCTCGGCGAGGAAGGCGGCCTGGCACTCGAAGAAGGGGATGGGGCACGGCACGGCGAGGGGGATGCCGACGAAGCCGAGGGTGGGCCGCGCGGCGTGCCTACGCGACATGTCCAGGACAACTCCCGGACCAGTCCTGGACCCGCCCGGGAAGGGCCGCGCGGCGTGCATGAGGTGCTGGTAGAGCGGCGTCACGAACCGCTCCCCCTCGAAGGTCAGCCCGCAGGCCGTCTCGTCGAGGAAGGGGAAGGAGTAGACATAGCCGGTCGCGAGCACCACCTTCGTCACCGGCGGACCCTCAACCTCCTCCTCCTCCTCGCCGCCGCCGCCGCCGCCGCCGCGGGGCGCGGCGAGGCGGCCGTTGCGGCAGAGGCGCGTGCCGAGCGGCACGTGCGTCACCGCCTCCGCCGCGTGCGTGGTTGCGCTCGTGCACTTCTTCTCTAGCACATACACCCACTCCGCGACACCGTAGAGCATCCGCGCGATGTCGACCCCCGAGGAGCGGCCGCCGACGACGAGCACGCTCTGCCCGCGGAAGTCGTCGGGGTCATCGTAATGCAGCGAATGGGTGATGCGGCGTGCCGCGTCGCCCGCGAGCCAGTTCTCCTCGCCCGGCAGCGACGGCATGTACGGCTTGTTGTAGTGACCGGTGGCGACGACGACGGCATCGAAGACGTCCGAGTGCGCCACGTCGTCGACCGTCCACTCGACCGTCCACCGAGGCGCGCCTTCGCTCGCGGCGGGCGCGACGCGCGTCACCGTCGCGCCAAAGGTGGCCAGCTGCAGCAGCCCGAACTCGCGCCCGTACGCCTCGATGTACTGTCCCAGCATCTCCTTGGTGATGTAGGAAGGCACGCTGGAGGCAAAGTCGAGGTCGGGAGACTGCATCACGACCGTGGGCAGATTGGTGTGCAGACCTTTGTACACCACGTCGTTGGTCGGGTTGTCTGCCCACACGCCTCCAACCGTCGAGCCTGACTCGAAGATGGTGGCGTCGTGGCCAGCACGCTTGAGGAAGCGCGCGGTCACGACGCCGGCGCTGCCGCCGCCGATGACCGCGACGCGGCGCGAGAGGCGAGGGGCAGAGGTCGTGGCGACGGATAGCACGGCGGCGGCGGCGGAGCACATACACACACTGTTGTGTCGTGGCGAGCTAAATCCTGTGGCGAGGGTGCCGTGCGTGCCCTAGCGTGGGGCCTGGGCCGTCGAGCAGTCTCGGGCGACAAGAAAACGCGCAAAAAATCGTCGCCGCTGTGCCTCTTTGCACCGCTGGCGACGCTGTCTCGTCTCGGCCGCCGATGCGACTCGCATGGGCGGCAGCCTCCGTACGACGGAGACCCGCCGAGACGGAGACAGCGTCGCCAGCGGCGCAAAGAGGCAGCGTCGCCATGCTTTTGCGAAAGGTCTTCTTTCTTGGTTGGATGGAGTGCATCTGTGCGAGGAGTTTTGTTGTAAAATAGCGCTTGCGCTTCGGCGGTAGTGATCTGATCACCCGAATACCACGTTCGGATCGCTCCTCATCGCAAACCCTGTCAGCAGTTCACCTACGGGTATGTTCGTAAGAGCTACATACACTGGAGAGAGAGAGAGAGCAACACCGAAGAGCGCGCCCGCCTTGCAAACATGGGCTGCAAGCAACGCTAGGGTGCCCACAGGGCCCAAAAAAAGAAAGGAAAAAGAAATGGGCGAACCTCGATCGCAGCACTTCGTGTTGGAGAGTCGAGAAATTGAGAGTGTGACTAGGAGGGTGGGACGCTGGGGATTCTCAAAGGTATACCCTTGCAATGGCCGGATCCAGCCTTGAAAGTACGAGATCGCGCGCGCTTCGCGCGCTGCACCGCCTGTTCTCCGCGGCTGAGTGACGACGCATGCCGTGTGCCAGCAGAGTTGGGCGCGCGCGGCGCGACGGCGCCCGCGAGGGAAGGCGCGGGTGCAGCGGCCGCCGGTGGTCGTACCGCCCGCCAGCCGGCGCACTGAGCCCTGGTGTCGAGGTGTCGAGGCCCGGTGTCGAGGGTGTCGAGCTGCTGTCGAGGGGTACAGTAGAGGTGTCGAGGCCTGTCGAGGCCTGTCGAGGCCTGTCGAGGCCTTTCGAGGCCTGTCGAGGCCTGTCGAGGCCTGTCGAGGCCTAGCGGAGAGAGGGTGTGGTGTCCCGTCTAGTGCTTCGTGCCGTGGAGGGGCAGTCGTCGAGCTGGCTGAGCTCGTCGAACGCCCCTCAGGTGCCTGCGCACCGACCACCCCCCGGTGTTTTGACACCATTATTCAGTATATTAACCTCGCGGCCGCCTAGATAGACTGAAAGAGCTAGACACCGCAGGAGGCAAGGCGACTACTACTGCTGCTGCTGCTGCTGGATGCTGCTGCTGCTGCTGCTGCTGCTGATGCTCCTGTTGCTGCTAGATACGAATTCGCGCCCGCCCGCCCGCCCGCCTGCCCGCCCGCCCGCCCGCCCACCCGCCCACCCGCCCGCCCGCCCACTCTCCCCCTCCCCCCCCGCTCCTGATTGCCATTCCCCCAACACGCCTAGCACTCGAATATACAGGCGCTCGATTCTCCCACTCGCTGCCTACTCGCTGCCTCGAGGGAGGAGGGGAAGACGTCGTGCGGGCGCCACTGCGCTAGCCGGCCTGAGGCCCCTCCCCGAAAGGCAAGCATTAGACCCATGCAACCGAGACCCCTCCCCACCACCCCGAACCCCCCACCCCCTTGCTCCCCTCCCCCCCTCGGGAGGGCCGAACTGAGGCGCCCGTGGGGACCCTGCAATTCCCTTCCCCTCTCGGAGGGGGCCGGACGGAGGCGTACCCCGAGGGCCCCGCTCTTTCCCTCGCATAGCGGCCACTCTTCGGATCGCTGGTCGAGCGACCCGGGGGATGCCCCGCGCGCCTGACCCAGGCGCGAGAAACGAATCTGCGAGGCGTGGCCGCTCATGCGGCCCGATGGGGAGGAACGGGGCGAGCCCCCTCCAACCCACCCGCGCTAGGTCTCGGGTTTGACGCATGGGGTCACTCCCGCGAAACCCGTGAACTAGCCGGGGCAGTCGGAGAAGGGGCAACTCCGTGCACTGACGGTCGGCCGTCAGAAAACACGCCTGCGTGGCTCGGGTTACACCAATCCTCGCTACCCAACGCGGCCAAAGGATATCCACCTCGAGAACCTCGAGAACCTCGAGGCATGTTGTGCGAGTATATGGGACAAAAGCGTCGAAAATGTCCAAAAAAGCGTGTCTGGAGTTTGTGGCAGCCCCACAGCCGGCGCGCGCTGCCAGGAAGCACCGCTCGCGTGTCGGCGGCACTCCCTGGAACCCAGTGAGTGCCGCGAACCGACCAGACCGAATAGGCTCGACGCCGCGCTCGCTGTGGGGCTGCCACAAACTCGCCGCCGAGCGTGCCACCGAAGGCGTCCCGTCGGAGGTGATGGAGTGTGAGACCTGAGGCTACGGAGGTGACGCCTGAGGTACCGGACCGTGCACGGCGACTCAGCCGGCGACCGCCACGGGCTCAGACGAGACTTCTCGACGCGTTCCGGCTCAGCTTCACCGTGGTCCTCGGGCGTCTGTCGACGTCAGGACCACCCATACAGCTCGCGGGTTTGAGGTCGCAAGGACCAAGATGGTGGCGTTTGGACATCCCAACCATCACACAAGACAGCCTGTAGGTGATGGCGGGACGGCGCAGTGTTTGTGGCACTCGGCAGTAGGCACCCGCGGCACAGCCCCGCTGTCGGCTCTCGCGGGCTGCGGAACCGGCCCCAGAAGGGGACGGTCCGGGCGAGTGTGGCAGCTCCTGCGCTAGTATGGGCACCCTCTATCATAGCACTACTGATCCTGGTCATTAGATCTGCCAGGAATAGCGTCAGGAGCCGGTACGAGTCAAAACCCCTCATATTTGAGACATCGTGTCCCATATACTCGAGCACAACGAGCCACTACGGATTCTCGATTGTACCAGACCCCCACCAATGTGCGCTGGATTAACGCAGAGACCATGGCCATGAGCGGGGAGGACCAGCTCCTTTTTTGCCCATCTCTACTACTGAGATATCCGTTTTCATTTCATTTTGTTTCTGTTAGGCGGCTCGCCACCCTGTCCAGGCCTAGCAGCCTAGGACTGAACGACGATCACTGTCGGCTTCCCGCTGGGTCGCCTCTCGGCTGAGCTGCTCAAACCACGCGGACTGTTCGCGATACCGGGATATCATGACGAACCCAAAAACGCACATTCCGACCGTCGAGTAGACCACGATGAAGGGTCCACTTGTCTCGACAATGAAGAGGAGCATCTCAAGCATCGCGAGGCTCATGCCGGCGACAAAGATGACGACTGGCCAGCCGAGGTAGGCTGAGTGATCGACGATGTACCGCTCGAACTCTTCGGGCGTTCCAAGCTTCTTGATGACCATGCATATCAGCACGGAGTCGAGGACGGAGGCGAGCATCAGAGCAATCGAGGTGACTCCGGTAACAGAAGCTCCTGCTTGGTACCACGAGGTTGCGTCCGAGTAGTCGAGCTCGACCAGCACTGTCAGGGCCGCGCCGACCATCAGGGCGGCGATGATGGCGAGATTGCCGTAGTATCCGCTCATTCGGTCATGAGCAACGGTCGTGCCGTTTTCACGCAGCAAGCGCAGCCAGGCGGACGAGATCTTTTCGCGCGAAATCTGGTCGACGATCTGACCGATGCCCTCATCTGTGATCTGGTCGACAAGCAGCTTGTGGGCTGGCTCCTCGCCCGTGCTGGGCATTCGCGGCGAGCCTAACCGCCACGACGGAAGTCGAGCACGCAGCAAGTCCGCCGACGCCGGGGGTGGAGGACGTGCGTTGTTTCCGTTTTCTTTTGAGCTAGCCTTCGATGTATTGTTACGAAACAAAAGCAAGGCGGACATGGGGCGATGTTGTGCGATGCTCCCCATAAAAAAGAAAGAAAGAAAACAGACAACCCAAGGGAGGGATGGGAGGACGGCACGCCGCCACCACACAGGGATTTTAAGGAGAGGTGTGTGGTGCGCTATCCGTCGCCCACCCTAGGGAGTCTGCCTCTTCCTATCTCTCTTCGCAGTCTCTCGCTGATTCTCGCTGCAATCTTCATGCCACCACGCGGTCGTCCCATAAAGAAACCACACCGAAGGTGGCTAATTTTTCCCTTCTTTTCCTGGCGACATATACGCACACACGTATACACACATACACGTGTGCACGTATATGTCCCACCGCACCGCCATCGCCAGCTACCTCGGCGTTGGCACAGCCTTTGCTCTCTACACGCTCGACGAGGTGCTCGACCTCCGGCAGTGGCGAGTCGCGTGCCACCGAGTGAGCGCACCGAACCTGAAGTCGCCGGTGGCGCTCTCGCTCAGCGCTCGCACGCGACCGCCGCCGATCGGCGCGATGGATTGGCCCGCCGGCCGTGTGCTGCTCCAGCTCGCGCTGGAGGGCGACGGCACGACAGCGCTGTCCCCTATTCCGGCCCGAGGCGCCACCGTGCTGGAGATCGGGTCCGGGATCGGCACCGCGGCGATCGGCCTCGCGCTGGCGCTGCAGGCGGAGCGCGCCGAGGAGCACGGCGCAGCGGAGGCCTCCTCCGCCTCCTCCGCGCCGACTGCGATAGTTGCGACCGACATCTGCTCCGACAGCCTCGCCAACCTCGCCGCCAATGCCCTCTCCCACGGCCTCCGCGTGGCGGGCGAGGGCGAGCAGCCGCCGGACGGCTCCATCGGCGTGGCGCGGTGGGACGCGTCCGCTGCAGACGCTGCTCGCTCGCTGCCGCTGGTCGCGCCCTCTCGCCTGACGCACGTGCTCGGCGCCGACGTCGTCTACTCAGGGGGCGCGGCGGGCGTGGGCGAGGAGTGCGGCGGCGAGTTCGTGGCGACGCTGCGAGCGCTGCTCGAGGCGCAGCCGCAGCTGCAGGCGGACGACGCCGCCTCCGCGCGCCCCTCGTTGCGGCTCCCTCGCGCGTGAACGACGTCTCTTCACACCTGCAGCGCTGCAGACAGGTGACCCTCCTCCTGGTCAACCGCTTCTCCGGCGGCGCCGTGTCCGCCCTCTCGCACATCGCCGGCGTGGCGCACGAGAGCACCTCGCTCGACGCCTCGCTCGGCCGCTTCGAGCGGCAGGCCGCCGCCGCGGGCCTTCGCCTGCGGCGCGGGCCGGTGCCCGAGGCGGTCGCGGGCCGCGTGCGCGCCGAGCAGAGCCTGGCGACGCGCGCGCAGTGGTGGCTCGCCGCGTACTGGGACGGGCTGCTGCTGTACCAGGTGAGCCTGGAGTGTGGCTCCATAGACACGTAAGTACGCAATTTCCAGGCCTTCTTTTTCTTCTTCTTGCCGCTCTACCGGGACTCAGTCAGTCCCAGGGCAGGGCATACGTAGCCGCATACGGTTCGCCGCATACGGTTCGCCACGAGCGATGATCGCGCTGGAGCCTCACGTCCAGGCGGTGCTCGCCTCGACACCTCTCGACTCGCTCTCCACCAAGAGCCTGCGCACGCGCCTCGAGTCGCGCCTCGGCCTCAAGTCGGGCGCACTCAAGGAGCGGAAGCACGAGATTTCGCGGCTGCTCACCGCTGCACGTGACCAGCCAGCGGGCGCGCCGTCCGCTGCCCCGTCCGCCGCCCTGTCCGCCGCGCCGCCGCTTGCTCGCCTCGTTGCGCCGCCCAAGCGGTGTGCGCGCCGAGCCATGTTTTGCGACTGCTGCGGCGCCCTGCTGCGTGAGCCAACGCAGACGGGCACCAGCGTCGAGTGCCATCTATGCGGGGCAGGGGTGGACGCGGCGGAGTTCGAGGCGCTTGTCGTGACCACAGCCGGCAAGGACCACGTCCTCGGCGCCAACCTCGCTCGTGGCGGCGTGCAGGCAGACACCTCCGTTCCACCGCCAGTAGCGTCCCACGCACGCGACACGGACGCGGCCACGCGCCTGCGGCCATGCACCCTCGCACGGCCATCGCACCACCAGCCGGGCGGCCGGCCCACCGCCGCTCGTCACGGCCAGACCCCACAGCCTGCGCCGCAAGGTGTGGCTGACCCGGAGGCCTCCCGCCCGCTGCTCCGCCTCCCTGCTCGAGCCCCCTCCCGCATGCGCAGGCGAAGCGAGCTCGCGCGGTCGTCAAGGAGGCGTGCCCTCAGTGCGCCCACCCGGAGCTGCAGTACTACACGATGCAGCTGCGCAGCGCCGACGAGGGGCAGACGGTTTTTTACGAGTGCGAGAAGTGCGGCCACACGTACTCGACAAACACCTGACGAGGACCTCTCCACAAGCACCCTCGCAGCCTTGCAGGAAAACTCCATGCCTCCCTATCAATAGAGTGCGTACTATGTAGACATGCGTCCCCGTGCGTCCGTGCAACCCACGTAGTTGCTCACCTGCAGTGCTGTGCGGGTGGGGTCGTAGTGGCTTTCGTAGTACCGGTCGAGGCGGTAGCATGCTCTGTTGAGACGAAAGATGATGGCTCTGCATTCGGCCATCTGAGTGCACCAGCCACGGCATGCCTCGATGGAGCTGCTAAACTCGGGACGGTTCCCGTCGTTGGGCCCGGGCGAGGAACCGGGGATCGGCTCAGACCAGCAGCCGACGAGCGTGGCCAGGCTAGATGGCGACGGCGGCGGTGGTGCTGATGGTGAAGGCGGCGGCGGCGGCGGCAGACTCTGCTGCGATGCGTGTGCCTGAGAGACGTTCGCAGCTATCGGTGGCAGTGTGCATGCTGCTCCAGCCACGTAGTTGCTCACCTGCAGTGCTGTGCGGGTGGGGTCGTAGTGGCTTTCGTAGTACCGGTCGAGGCGGTAGCATGCTCTGTTGAGACGAAAGATGATGGCCCTGCATTCGGCCATCTGAGTGCACCAGCCACGGCATGCCTCGATGGAGCTGCTAAACTCGGGACGGTTCCCGTCGTTGGGCCCGGGCGAGGAACCGGGGATCGGCTCAGACCAGCAGCCGAGCGGCCCCCAAGCAGTAAGCGATGCCAGCGGGAGCGGCAATGGCGGCAGTAAGGGTGATGGCAGCGGCGGTGGTGCCAGGGATGACGGTGTGCATGCAGCTCCGGCCACGTAGTTGCTCACCTGCAGTGCTGTGCGGGTGGGGTCGTAGTAGCTGTCGTAGTACCGGTCGAGGCGGTAGCATGCTCTGTTGAGACGAAAGATGATGGCTCTGCATTCGGCCATCTGAGTGCACCAGCCACGGCATGCCTCGATGGAGCTGCTAAACTCGGGACGGTTCCCGTCGTTGGGCCCGGGCGAGGAACCGGGGATCGGCTCGGACCAGCAGCCGAGCGTGGCCAGGCTAGATGGCGACGGCGGCGGTGGTGGTGGTGGTGGTGGCGGCGGCGAGGGTGGAGGTGGCGATGAAGATGGCGGCGGGGGCGACGGGGGCGACGGGGGCGGTGGTGGCCGTGGCGGTGAGGTGGAGGGCGAGGGTGGCGGTGTTGACGGCGATGGCGGCCGCGGCCACCCCAAGGGCGGCGGCTGCGGCGAGGGTGGTGGTGGCGGTGGTGGCGGTAAGGGTGAGGGAGGCGGTGGTGGCGGCAAGGGTGAGGGAGGCGGCGGTGGCGGCAGCGGCGATGGTGGTGGCGGCGGCGGCAAGGGTGAAGGAGGTGGTGGAGGTGGGGTTGGCGAGGGCGGCGGCGGTGACGGCAGCGGCGAGGGTGGCGGCGGGCTCGGCGGCGGCGGCGGCGGTGGCGGCGGCAAGGGTGGGGGAGGCGGTGGAGGTGGGGTTGGCGAGGGCGGCGGCGGTGACGGCAGCGGCGAGGGTGGCGGCGGGCTCGGTGGGCTCGGCGGCGGCGGCGGCGGTGGCGGCGGTAAGGGTGAGGGAGGCGGTGGCGGTGGGGGTGGCGAGGGCGGCGGCGGTGATGGCAGCGGCGAGGGTGGCGGCGGGCTCGGCGGCGGCGGCGGCGGCGGCGGTAGCAGTCCTGGAGGCGGTGAATCACCGGACGGCCGCGAGAGACCGGCGGCGGAGCATTGCTCGGTAGTAGGCATGCAAGTTCGCTTGTTGTCCTGCGTCCGACAAATACCCTGTACTATTGGCGACGAGCCTGTAGTCTGTGCGTTGCAAGGCGTTCCCTCTGGAATGAAGCGCACGTCAAAGCTCGCGCCAAAGTAAGCGAATCCCGAGACGCATTGTCCGATTCTCCCTCCAGAGGTGAATTTGCAGTGTTGCGAGCACGCCACGTCTGGGTCGCCCTCTGCCGCGGAACCAATCGGGCATGTGAGCGTGTCCACCTCGACCGTGCTGGAGTCCAGCCTGTAGCCGCACAAGCTCTGCCAAACCTGGCACGTGCCGCGGCGACAGTACCCTCTTCCACCGCCGCAAGGGGCAGAGGCTGTCTTGAAGGAGCAGTCCTCGTTGCAGCACTCCCCAGAGGAGCACACCGCCCCGGGCACAAACATGCAGGTCGCTCTGTCGCAACAGGCTGAGTCGTCGTCGCACTCTTCGCGGTCGTCTATCAAGCCATTCCCACAGGCGGTGCCTTGTGCGACCACGCAAGCACGCTGGCTGCCCTCAGAGGTCACTATACAAGTGCCACTGGCACCGCTCGGATGCGTGCAGTGGGTCCCTTCTGGCAAGTAGAGGCTCAAGTCGAATCTGGTCGCTGGAAAGTGGGTCGTGTCGAGGCAGGAGCCGTCGGCTCGCCTGCACGTCATTGCGCACGCCCCGCGTGGGTCGTTTGGCGACGCCGCTCCGACAGGGCATGCGTTCGTGTCGAGGGAGACCGACGCGCCGCCAAAGGAGAAGCGGGAGCAGAGGCTCATAGATTGATCACACTTGCCGCTGTTGCACCAGCCGGCGCCGCCGTCGCATACGTGCCTCGCACTCTTCAGCGTGCAGTCATCGTTACAACACTCACCACCTGAGCATAGCGCCCCTACTGCCAGCCGGCAACCTGAGCAGCACCGCGAGTCGTCGTCACACTCCTCGTGCGATATGAGGTCAATCATGCCATTGCCACAGTCAGTCATGCACGTCGAGGAGCGACGCGCGTCTTCGGTGCACGTGTACCCGCACTCACGACCACAGGCTGCGTCGCAGCCGTCGCCGCTAATCGTGTTGCCATCGTCGCAGCCCTCCTCGCCGCCGTAGCTGAGCGACCCATCCCCGCAGATGGACTCGCCTGAGACGAGGCACGTTTGTCCTGGCCTGGCCAGCTCGTTGTTCACATTCTCACATACCAGACCGTCGTCGTAGAACCGGTGGTGTTCGTAGTTGTAGCTCATCAGCCCTCCTTGGTCGAAGGTGTGGTCCGCGCCAAATAAGTGTCCGACCTCGTGCGCGAAGGTGCGCCACGTCTTGCTGCCCCACCATGAAGTGAGTGCGACGGGGCCCATACACGCGGCAGGGTCCTCCTCGGGGCCGCACCGCTCGGAGTAGGAGAAGGACATGGCGGCCGCGTTGCCGTTGGGGAGGCGCACGTCGCACGTGTTGTCGCACGGGGTGCCGGAATCCGAGACGTAGCCGCGGTTGCCATCGAGCGTCTGGCAGGTGCGCCCCCAATAGGCGATGCCAATGGTGCCGGTGGGCGGGAAGCAGTTTGTGAGGAGGTGCCAGTGGCCGCAGTCTGGGCACGGTGGCGCCACGTTGAGCCACGACGCCATACGCTGCAGCATCTTCTTGGGGCCTCCCTGCGCCTCGACCGTGATGGTCTCGCCGCCGGAGAGAAGGTGCCCCTGCACTGGCGTGTACGCGTCCGCAAGCGCGGCGCCACACCGGTTTCGCTGCCCCGGCACGGTGGGCGCAAAATTGGGCCCCGTGTCGGCAAAGTCGCCGCAGCCGTCGACGTTGATGATCACCGTGCCCAGCTGGAACTCGATGCCGACCTGGTCGCGGTACACGAGATTGGTACTACTGATGATGGATGCAATCTCCCTGAGCGCAGCGTCCCTCCCCCCGGCAGCAGCCGTGAAGCCCCAGTCTGAGATGATGCCGAGCTTCGTGGTGTAGAATTCAGGCGCCACCGGGCAATCTGCCATGCGCCCGTGAGGCGGCCCTGTGTGCTCCAGCCGGCGGCGGCGGCGGGAGTCAGGGATGGCCCGTCCAAGGAGCGGCTTGGTGCTGCTGTGAAGCGCCTCGTCCCAGCCGGTGGCGTTGGCCGACGCAGAGCCGGTCACCTCCGTCCGCGCGTCCGCACGGTAGATGATGTACTGCCCAGGCAGCAGCGACCGTCCGAGCTCAAAGGAGTCTGCACTCTCGACGATTAGGTCAACCTCGGACGAGTGAATGTGCATGCGCAGCGCGTGCTGGGGACCCAGCGCGGTGGCGCTCACGCCACCGGGCACGCTCTGCCTCAGCCCTCCGACGCCGACGCTCTCAAGGAGGCGCCCTCGGAAAGTGGGAAGCGAAGGAAGCATCATCGTCTGAGTCTGGCAGCCCTCATTGACGAGCAACTGTGCGTCCTGAGCCCAAAGGCTCACTCGCGAGAGCTGTGTCTCGTAGAGACCGGACGCCGTGCGGAACGAGACTTGAAGATGCCGCGCCTGATTGCACAGGCGAGGGCGTGCGGCACTGCAGCTATGGCCGCACATGCTATGTGCGAGAGAGCGGGCGGCTAGCTAGAGCCGACCTCGTTAGACAGAGCGGACGTGGCTCGCCCATCGCTCAGTATGGCGAGATCTCGCGCGATCTCGTACTCGCGCGGCAGCGCATGTGCGGCTGCGCGCTGCAACAGCAGCCCGAGCAGGGCACAGGCAGCTCGTCGCATCGCAGCCGGTCGACGCCTTCTACGGAGCGACGGCAAAACGTAAGATTCGGAAGCACTTGATCGAGCCGCAACTCGAGCCGCAACTCGCCTGATTGTGCGGAGATTGCGGAATTTCACGAGCGAATGCCCAACAAGTTACGCCGAAGGGGTGTGGGGCGGGTGGTGGCGAACGAAGAGAGCGCAGCACACAGCATCATATTGACAACGGACGGACAGCACACACAGTACACACACACAGCACCATGCTCCATGGTACCGTACCCAAGTACTGGCTCTTATTTTTAGTTCTTTTTGCACCGAACGCGTCCCTCCCAAACTATTACTCGGTCTCTTGCAAATAGTTTGGTTGTGGCAGATTTTTTTGAGAGCGCCTTCGTTGTTAATAAGAAAAAGGAGGCCTTGTCACAGTCACACACACACACACACACACACACACACACACACACACACACACACACACACACACACACACACACACACACACACACACACACACACACGCGCGCGCGCGCGCGCACACACACACACACACACACACACACCACACACACACACACACACACACACACACACACACACACACACACACACACACACACACACACACCGCGCCGCGCCGCGCCGCGCCGCGCCGCGCCGCGCCGCGCCGCGCGCACACGCCCACCGCCCCTTCTAGGTGGGGGAAAAAAGGTGGAAAACAGACGAGGAGTCAGGAGATGGGAGGCCCCTTGGAGCACTTGGAGTGCAGTCATCAGCCTCACATCCAGGGCCGGGGAGCTCAGAAGCGCACCCAGCGGGCCGGATGATCGGGATCGGGTTGCGGGCAAGAAAGCCCTAGCCCCGGGGGTGCGCGTTCGCAGGGCAAGGGCCGTAAAGTAAACACAGGTCTCCGAGGGTTGGCTCCGTGTACCGGGTTTCCCCTTAACTTCACAACCCCTGGCGAGGTACTCCCACGCCTCTCGGGGTTTTTGTCTGGCCGAGTCAACCCGAGATGCTGGGGCGAGCCTCGGCGAGACTGCGTCAGCTGTTCCCACAGCAGGCTGGAAGTCTAAACAGCGATACGCTGATTTTTTCCCTTTCGGCCACGCCGTTGCTGGCAGGCACGCCGGTAGCTGCAAGCGACAGGCAGATGCAGGTACAGGATTCGAACCTCGCTGAGCCGTTAGTCGGGTCCGCGTCGGCGATGGAGGCTGGCACGAAGCGTGGCCCCATGCGCGCCACCCGGGCAGCCGCGCTTGCGGCGGAGCGTCAGCGGCTGGGCTCGCGGCTGTGGAAGGTTGGCGTGCTCGTGCGGCTCATCACACTCCTGAACGGGTTGCTGCTGGTGGGCACGGCGAGCTACATGGTGTGGCGCGAGGTCTCTCTGGAGGAGGAGGAGGGCAGCAAAGAGGCTGGCACGAAGCACAGCCCCTTCGAGGGCATGCTCCCGGACCAGGTAATCGAGCACCTTCCCGCCAACGTCGTGCTCCGCACCGTCCTGCGGCGGTCGATGGCGATTCTGGCCGGCGTCGCGATGATCGCGCTCGAGGTGTGGACCGCGGCGGCCGAGGGCGCGACGCGCGCCGCCTTGGGGCTCGCCTTTGGGCCGGGCGGTCGCTTCTGCCTCTTTTGCCTCGCGGCGCTGCTATGTGCACCGATGGTGCTCTCGCCGCCTCGCCCGCCGCCGCCTCGCCCGCCGCCGCCTCGCCCGCCGCCGCCTCGCCCGCCGCCGCCTCGCCCGCCGCCGCCTCGCCCGCCGCCGCCTCGCCCGCCGCCGCCGCCGCGCCGCGCCGCCGCCGCCCTCCCCGCGCGGCTCTGCAGACGGACCTCGAGCACAGCTAACCCTAACCCTAACCCCTACCCTGACCCTGACCCTGACCCTGACCCAACCCTGACCGCACAGATGGACCTCGAGCACAGCTTGGAGGACGGGTACGTCTCGTGCGGCGCGGTGGGCGTCACGCTGGTCGCCGGGCTGCTGCAGGCTCTCCTGCTCTGCTGCTTCCCCGCCTACCGCACCCACTGCGTCGCCGACCTCGACAAGGACTCCCCTCCCCCCCCCCGCCGACTCGTGCCGCCCGCCTCGGCCCCGGAACCCGCCCCGAGCCTTCGACTGTAGGACAAGTTCTCGCTCGACTCCTCCGCCTTCCCGCAGGCCCGCGAGATATGGGGAGATGTGGGGAGATGTGGGGAGATGTGGCGAGATGTGGGGAGATGTGGGGAGATGTGGGGAGATGTGGGGAGATGTGACGAGATTACTCCGCCTTCCCGCAGGCCCGCGCCTGCGAGTCGCCCTCCCCCAGACCCACTCCTAGAGGGGCGGCGCGGCGGGGGGAGCAGCCTCCCTTCCCAGCCCGGCGGCGTCTCCCCTCCGCACAGGTCTACCGCGCGGGACCACCGAACCCTGACCCTGACCCTGACCCTGACCCTAGCCCGAACCCTCACCCATACCCATACCCTGACCCTGACCCTGACCCTAACGCAGGTCTACCAGCGGGACGACGGCGTGCACCTGCACGTGGGGGTGCTGCTGCCCGGCTTCTCGCAGCAGGAGGAGCTCAACATGACTGTCAACACCTCCGAGGCCTAGCCGAGCCCCGGCCGAGAGGAGATGCGGAGATGCGGAGATCGCGCAAGAGGTGGTGTGCAGAGATGGAACGGAGATCTCGCCGAGATCGACCGCCCTCGCCTGTCGAGGTGGCGTGTCGAGGGCGGCCTCCCAGAGAGGGAGAGAGAGAGAGGGGGGGAGCGAGAGAGAGGGAGCGAGAGAGAGAGAGAGAGAGAGAGAGAGAGAGAGAGGGGCGCCGCGCGGTGTCCCGACCCGCGCCGCTGTGGGCAGGTGGAGCTCGTGGGCGACATCTCCAAGTAATTAATTAATTAACTATTAATTAATTCCTCCCAGGTGGAGCTCGTGGGCGACATCTCCAAGATGGAGGCGCCCTTCGGCGCGTCGGTCGACACGTCCACTTCGGTCGGCGGGCCGATCGGCCCGTTTGCCCGCGTGGTGAAGCTCGAGCAGCCGGTGGACTGCTCGTAATTAACTAATGAACTAGTAATTAATTACTCCCAGGTGAAGCTCGAGCAGCCGGTGGACTGCTCGGCGGGCGTCGTGTCGGAGATGAAGCACGGCATCGTCGAGTTCCGCTTCCAGAAGGGGTTCGTGCCGCCGAGGGGCTGAGCCTCGAGCGGGCGGCGGGGCGACAGAGGCGGACAGCTCGAGGGTGGACGGCTCGAGGGTAGAAGGTAGAGAGGCGGCCCACCTGGCTTTCTCGGCGGGAGAATGGTGCGGATGCCGCGAGAGACCGACTGCGCCGAATGGCGGGCGCGCGCTCTCAATTTTGCGGGGGGGGGGGGCGGGGGGGCTAGCACCGCACACAGCGAAACTTGAACCACACCCGGTGTGCCACACGGCACATGCGAGGCCGAGCCCGTGAGGCGCGAGGGCTCGCGAGGTCGAGCGCGCGAGGGACGATGTGGGGTGCATGAAACTTGAATGATCTATGATGTCCACTGAGTGAGAGCGCGGCATCACACACCCGTGCGACCCACACACACATTGCGCACACACCTAGTGGCCGCCACTGCACTGCGCAAGGTGCGGGTGTACCACCGGACTACACCCACACCCCGTCTCGCTGCCGATAGTGGCGCGCACGCTTGTCGCTTCGCCCCAGCAGCCGCAGACGCGGAGAGGGGCGCAGCCTTTTCACAGCGGCAAGCCGTCGTGGTGCCAAACATACAAGCGGCCGTCGTCGGCGCCCGCCACGACGCGGTCGCCATCGAACGCGAGCGAGCGCACCCCTTGCTCCGGCATGCCGCGCAGTGACGCCAGCCTCACGGCGCTCCGCACGCTGCCGGCCGCGTGGAACGTGCCAATCCCGCGCAAGCTCCACACGTTGACGTTCGAGACGGCGTTGCCGGCGCCGCCCGAGACGAGGAGGTCGCCGCTCATCGCAAGCGCCCAGACCTTTGCGCCGGTGTTTATGGTAGCCAGCAGTTTCGCAGCGGGGTCCTGCGCGAACGGGTTCCACAACTTGACGGTGTGGTCGTCGGAGCCGCTCGCAAGGCGATCGTTGGCCGTGGCCAGCGCGTAGATGGCCTGGTGGTGGGCCTGCAGGCGGCGCACCGCTGTCATGGTGATCTGCTGCTGCGAAGTGTCCACGGTGAGCACGGTGATCGCGCGGTGCCGAAGGACAGCGGGCTGATCGGGGAAGGAAATGTGGCTCGTCACGGCGACGAAGGACAGCGTCTCCGACAGCGTGCCAGCGGCGAGGCCGTGTGTTCGCGCGGGCGGTGGCCCGCCGGCCCTCAGCACCCTGTCCTCGAGCACGATGCCGCCGGCCACGTCGCTGTCGGCAGGGCGGTCGGTCGGCGGATGCCGCGCGACGCGAATCGCCCGATCCTGCGTCAGGAAGAGCCGGCCGGCGTCGCTCCACGCGGCCATCGACAACGTCAGCGGGCACGCGACGATGCGGTCAGGCTCCTGGCCGTCGCCCTCGCGCAAGCGGCTGAGGTCAACCAGGCGGCCGAGCACCGCAAGCTGATGTCCACGGAGCGCCAAGTGCCACGAGAGCACCGACCGAGAGAGCGTGACGCCGTCAACGGACCGCCCGCTCGCGGCGTGCTGCACTCGCCGGTACGCGCAGTCGTTGGAGCGACTCGAGCGCGACGCGTCGCGCACTTGAAGGACCACCTCGCCCTCCGCCGCCGACACGAGGTACTCGGAGCTGAGCGCCAGCGACCAGACATGGCCAGCGTGCGCAACGATGACGTGCGGCGCGTGGACGCACAGATCGACGCCTCGCCACAGCCTGTGCCGCATGTCTTCGCGGTTACCGCCGCGGCTCAGCCACTGCGGCGAGAGAAGCACTGCGCGGCCGCAGTGGCGGAGCGCAGTGCACGCGGCCTTCACGGCGACGAGGCTCGCGACGTCGGCGAAGAGCAGCACGTGGCACTGCAGGTCGTGGTGCAGGTCCGCGAATGTCGTGGACGGCTGCCGCCTCTGCGAATGTTGTGTGGCCATCCAGCTGAGATCCCCGGCGCTAGCAGAAGCCTTCGGCGAGAAGAGGCCTTCGGCGTGCCTAGAAAGAAAAAAACCGCCCTGGCATTCCTCGTCTGGCCACGCTGTGCATCATCTCACCGTATGCAGCCGTATACGCCCACGGTGCTCACAGGGTCGGGCGTCACGGTGCTCGTGGCAAGCATCTCCGTAACTCTTGTGACTTGTGGGTTTGGTGATATTGCCTCCGGTGCTACTGCTGGCTAGGGTGCCAATGGCGCGACGGGAGGCGGCCATTGGCGCCACTACAGCAACGATTGTTAGGGGACGGAAAAATCCAGTCGCTTTGCGGCTGCCGGACGATGGCGAGAACGTGCGTCACGAGCTTCTGTGTGCGGTGGCAGGCCGGGGAGCGGAACCAAGCTTGTTAGACTGTCAGAGAAAGTGCTGTCAGCGCTGTCAGGCTGTCGGGCACTGTCAGGCGCTGTCCGGGGTTTGCTGTCAGTCTGTCAGACCAGGGCTCAGGTGCAGACCGGCCGAGACCGAAGAGGCTAGTTCCAGTTCACTCTGACACGCTAATCGTGAAAACGCGTCCAACGCGGCTACGTACGCCGTACGGGTACGCGGGGCATCAAGGTTCAAGCGCGTCCTTGGATTTCCTCAACTGACAACTCAGCACCCTCCATCCAACTCTACAGAGGTGCGCGTCCGGTTCGAGGTTGAGAGAGAATCTGAGAGAGAGAGAGAGAGAGAGAGAGAGAGAGAGAGAGAGAGAGAGAGAGAGAGAGAGAGAGAGAGAGAGAGAGAGAGAGAGAGAGAGAGAGAGAGAGAGAGGAGAGAGAGAGAGATAGAGAGAGAAGAGAGAGAGAGAGAGAGAGAGAGAGAGAGAGAGAGATTCTATCTTCTGTCGACAGTATTCTTTCTTGGAGCACTTGGAGTGCAGTCATTAGCCTCACATCCAGGGCCGGGGAGCTGAGAAGCGCACCCAGCGGGCCGGATGATCGGGATCGGGCTACGGGCTAGAGAGCCCTGACCCCTAGGGGGGGGGTGCGCGTTCGCAGGGAGAGGGCCGTAAAGTAAACACGGGTCTCCGAGGGTTAGTCCGCGCTCCAGGTTTCCCCTAGCAGCGGAGCGCCCCCTCTACTCGGAGCTAATAAGCACCAGACACGCGTCGGGGAGAGGGGGGACGACACTGCTGCAGCAGCGTGCACCTCGATCCTGTACCGTGTTTGTTATGACCCCCCCCAATGAACACACCAGTGAGGGAGGGCGAGACGATCGAGGGGTCCCGTACCATGCGGAACCGACCCTATCCAGTGCTCAAGTGCTCAAGCACCAGACACGCACACGACGTACATCCTCACTCGACGTCACCCCTCGAGGCTTCTCCGTTCGGCCTCCCCCCCTCGGTCCGGAGGGGCCCTCTTATCCCCTCGATCCTCCCCCCACTCGCTTTCCGCTGGTTGGGCAACGGATGCGGGGCCCGGCCCCCCCTCCTAGCCTTTTTCGGCCGCGGCCCCGCCGCCGTCTCGCCCTCTCTGCTTGATCCTGTTGACTCCTGTTGAGGTTATTCTATCTTCTCAAAAAAGAAAAGCGCGTCTATCCGTGACAAGACTGTGCCAAGCCCCATTAAAATCCCTGTGTGGTGGCGGCGTGTCGTCCTCCGATCCCATCTCTCGTTTCTTTCTTGCCAAGCCCCACATTGGCCTGCTGACCCCCGCAATCACACACTCATCGCCATCAAGCTCCGCGGGAGCCTAGGGCTCATCGCGGGAGCTGAGGGCTCATCACTCAATGCTCGACCGCGCTGACACGTCTGCGGCACCCGTCCAATATCGGCACGCTACAGCCTTGGTGCAGCGTGACGCCGAGCGCAGGGCGGCAGTCGCAGAAGCGGCGCACATGGTCCGCCAGTCCAAATGGTCGGATCGCAGCGAGGTGCAGGAATTTGTGGCGGTGAAGCAAGGCAACGCGCTGCGAGGCTCGTACATGCGCATCATCGAGATTGGGCCGAGAGGAATTTGCACGCTCGACCCGAGCACGCGGCGCCTCACAAACCGCTGGCCCCTCACGCGCGTCGTTCGCGTGACGGCCGACGATCAGTGTGGCGTCGATCTCCTGCTGAGCGAGCCTGTCGGTGGTCTCTTCTGCCTGCCGCTCGCGGTCGAGCGGCGCGTGAGCTTCGCGTTAGCCACACCGGGCGAGAGCGCCCAGCTGCTCGAAACCATTCGTGCGCAGCGAGTCGTCGTCCAGGCCCTCCTCTCCGTCCCACGCCGCACGCTCCCGGTCGCCCCATCAGTGCGTACTGGCATCCCCCCTCCCAGGCGCTGCAGTGCTTCGAGCAGCGCTCGCTGATCCGCGAATCGCCCGACGAGGTGCGCGCCCTCCAGCCGCCCCGCCCCGCCGCCGCCCCTCCTCACCCCCGACCCCGCGCCCGACCACCAGGCGCTGTACGCCGCCCCTCTGCGGGTGCAGCCCGCGCCGCTGTCGGCCGAGCCGAGCCCGCGCCGCGCCGAGGACGCCGCAGTCCTCGGGCCGACCGCCTTTGACCGAGTCTTGAGGCAGCCCTCCTCCGCCTCCCCACTCGCGCCCCCCCCCCCCCCCTCTCCCCCTTCCCCAGTCGCCTTGTCACACGCCGCACCTTCGCACCCTCACACAAACAGCACGACCCCGGGCCCAGATCGCACGCACGGACAGTCGGAGAACGGACGGTCAGACAGAGATCGACTAGTCAGACAGGCAACGCCGAGTCCCACGGAAGGCTAGCAGCGCGACACCGCCTCTTAAGCGCGACACCGTCGCATCGCAGGCCCGAGCCGCTGGCGGAGCCGGCCGCCGCGCCGCCGCGCAAGCCGGCGTGGGTCGACTTGCGACGCGTCCCCGACACACTCCTGCACGCGTGCGGCGGCGAGCAAGCCGCGTGGGACGAGCCTGCGGCGAGCATTGCCGTGGCGAAGGCGGGGCTAGTCGCCAAGCTGCGCGCGTCGAGCCCGCCGATCTCGCGACTCCCGTCCGGCACCGGCTCCGGCGAGTACAGCGCGTGATGCGCGGCGCCTGTCTCCGCCATTTTGGGGCCTCAGCCGACGAACCCGCCCCACCCCCCTCGTTCGCACATGCCCCCTCTAGCTGCCCGCCCCTCTGAAGCCCCGACACGCAGCCCTGCACCCCCGCCCCCAAACCCCCCCACCCCGTGCGTGCCCCCCCGCACGCGGGCCCACTCATCAGCTTGAAGGGTGCTTGTCCCCCCCCCGCGTCGGCTCTCTCCGCACGCTCCAGTCGTCGTGCACGTGGCGGCGACGTGTGGGGAGGGGGTGGACAGGCAGGAGCCAGGAGGGCGCGGCGCCGCGCTTTTTCGTGCATGCATGGGTGTCTTGAGCATTTCACATAGTATTGACGAGATCATTCGGTTTCGCGCTGCACAGCGCGGCACAGGCCCGACACCGCCACAGCGGCCTAAATGTATTAATAGGCGGCCCTATATGCTATATATAATCCTAATCACTGACGCTGTTCGCTGTACGCTGAGCGCTAAGAGGCCTTACCCTTAGCGCTCCAGAGCGCTCCCAGACGAGAGCGGAGCGTGTATCAGCTATCACGTACCAGTCGTTGAGATATTCAGCGCGCAGTAACGTGCTACGCAGTAATCGTGGCGATGCTTGTGCCTCACTCCTCGCCCATCGTCTTGTCAATCTCGGCCAATACGAGCCCAATCTCCGCCTCGAGCGCCGCCATCGCCTCCTCCACCGGCATCTCGGGCGGCTTGCCCTCGTTTGTCGCCTCCGCCACGCGCTGCAGTGTGAAGGCCGCCTTGTGCAGCCGCCACGCCGCGATATAGCCCGACGAGCCCTTGAGCGAGTGCGCCTCTCGCCGAAAGGCAAGCCACTCCTGCTCGGCGTGGAGCCGCCGGAGGGTCTCTATGCAGCTCGAGGCGCGGGTGCGGAACTTCGCGAGGATACGCTTCAGCACCTGTGCGCATGGGCGGCGGTGGCGGTGGGGGTGGGGGTGGGGGTGGCGGTGACGGTGACGGCGGCGGCGTTAGCCGCGGCGGCCAGGTGAGAGGCAGGCGGGGCGCGCCTCTGGGTTGCCGCCCAAGTTCTCGAGCACCTCGGCGTGCGCGATCACCGGGTCGCCGCTCGAGACGGAGGGCCCCGGTGAGCTCGTCGCCGTGTTGCAGGCATGGACAGCTGTGGCCGCGCCGAGCGAGGATGGCCGCGACCGTGGCAGCGGCGCCGTAGACGGAGGGCAGGGCACGTTTGCCCGCTCGTAAGTCCTGGAAATCTCGTGAAGCAGCGAAAGCAGGCTGGAGCCGTGGTGTCCCAAGCTTGGCAGGTCCACCCCGGCGCTCTCCAACTGTTGCGCCAACAGGGGGTGGAGCTGTCTAGCCATGGGCTGGAGAACCACACAGCCCACACACCCCACACAAGGCGCGCGAGTGCGAGAGATATCCGAGAGATCCTTCGCGAAAAAAAAAACAATTCGCGCGCGAAGGCGGCGCGGCACGGTAAGGGTCGGCGGTAAGGCGGCACGGCGGCAACGGACGGCAGGCAGGACATCGGTCGGCGGGCCGAACGGCTGAGCGGGGGGCGGCAGCGGGGCGGGGCGAGGGCGGCGCGGTAACGGCCGGATGATCTTCTGTGTATGTGGTTCTTACGAACATACCCGAGGGTGAACTGCTGACGGGGTTTGCGATGAGGAGCGACCTGAAGGGTTTCTCGGAGGTTAGTGCACTAACCGCCGAAGCGCAAGCGCTTTGATTTGCCAAGGACAACTTAGCCTAAGCACGTTTTTCTCGCCAAGTACTATCTATATTCTTTTGCTTATATTCTCGCCAGACCATCTATATTCTCGAGAATATTCTCGAATATTGAGAATATTTTCACCACGCGAGAGGTCAGCGGACGCCAAAAATCGCTCTAAAGTAGAGGTTTGTGCTCCCAAACCGCTCAGGAACGTCCAAAACTTAAAGATTTCCGTCTGCATCGACCCAAAACCTACTTTTGAGGGGGCAAAAGAGCTGTTTCGAGAAGCTCTAGTCAAGACCGTTCTAGACGCCGCGATGTAACGGCGAGAATATTCAAGAATATCTTGAGACTCGAGGTCAACCAAGGTCAAGGGCTGAAGAAAACTCATAGATTCTTGAGAAAAAGCCGCGCCGGGGCATCTATATTCTCGAGAATATTCTCGAATACGAAAGTGCGCGGGACCATCTATATTCTCGGAGATATTCGAGAATATTGTGCTTAGGCCAAAGGACAACCAGCCCTCCTCCCATTTTTTACCCTTTGGAAGAACAACCGTCCTCCGCCCAGCTGCATCCGCTCAGGAAGAGAAAAAAGCCAAGAGAGGGGTTGGAGGGCGGGAGAATCCAAAAAAGCCGTCCAAAAAGCCACAAAAAGCCAGCGAGCCTCCCGTTACGCGATTGCCGCGAAGCGCAGCATGATGCGTGGCCAGCTTGGGAGGCTGCCGCCGCTGTCAGAGGCGGCCGCCACTGTGAGGTCTCGAGGGCCGACCGGCCGGGCGAGCATCCGCGCTGCCGACGACGTGCTCGAGGCTGACCTTCAGAGCGACGAGATTCTCGCATGCTTTGAGGAGGCGCTCGGCGAACGGCAGCCAGAGATGGGAACGGATGCTGCAGCAGGGCGAGAGGCGAACGCCGAGAGTAAATCGCGGCGCGGCCGTCGGTTGGGCGCCTGGTAAAACGGCCGCACGTGAACATGGGGCACGGTAATGGATGGGATAGGTAGAGCGGTTTAGTGGTCCGAAGGAATCAAGGCAGGGCAGTGAGCTCGCAGGCTGCTCAGTCGCCGTCGCCGCGTGTCAAGTCAGGACAGAGCTCAGAGGACACGCCCGGCCGCTGCGGCGTCTGTGGCTGAATGAGGTGCAGTGTTCCCGTGTCGGGAGTCGTGGTTGACACTCTGAGTTGACGGGGTCTAGAGTTGATTGTTGCAACTGGGTGAGTGGGTGTGCGCGAGCGGCGCCCACCTACAGTAGCGGGGGACATGGAGATGGCTCCTGACCAACCGAGGTTCATACGAGACCGTGGTCGTGGAGAGCAAGGCCGTAGCCGTTCGCGCCAGACGTGCTACCGTACACCAGAGGGGAAGCGCGCCAAGGCATGTTGTCGCCGCGACGCGGTCAAGGCTTCGGAGGGCTGGTCCCAGGCAGAAGGAGAATCGGTGGGGAGATTGATTGGGACTCTTGCGCAAATGCATGGACAAGGCAAGGTGGGAAGGCCATTCGCTGTCTTCAAGCCCTTCAAGCCCGAGCGTTTGTTCAAATAGCGGAAGACTGCGGCGTAATGAGTCTGACCTCGGTGACGCTGCCATATGCGATATCGGCACTCGAGGGCGCAGGGCTAGATATGAATTCGCCATGGAGCCGTGGTTGTCATGGACGCGCACATTGTCAGCGGGTGCTTCTGCTGACAGGGCCGGCATTGCGATGACCGGGTGGCGCGCCGCTGCCTGGTCGGGGCAGCGCTGGCTAGGCGGGGGCATGGTCAGTCTGCAAAGAATCGTACGAGCAGCGTGTCGGTAGCCGCCAATGGTGAGTGTCCTTGTACGAGACTGATGTGTACACGAGAGTTCGGTTCTGGGTAGGCTGAGGGTAGTCGTTGGGGACGTGCTGCGGTTATTGTTTAGCGGGGGAAAGGAGCGCGTGCAGCCCAGCTCGGCGGCCGCGGCACAAGACGTCAACCCAACAGCTCCCCAAGTTAAAAGCCGTAATAGGAAAAAATCCAGCTCACTTTTGGAGGTAAAACGATGTCGGGCAGCACCATGGCCGGCTCCTGGTTGGGAAAGCCGGGCCGCATGAACTACGACAAGGAGGACCACGCCTCCCGGGTTCGATGAGGAGTCAGCGGAAGGGGGAGGGCGAACCGAGTACTATAGAGAGAGACCGCGGAAGCGGGCGCGATTGGTCGACGAGGGAGAGCTGGGCCGACCTCCCGGGGAGGGGAGGCGACACGACCCAACGGCGTTTTTGAAGGAAGTTTGAGATAGGAAACCAAGAACGACACACACCAGTCGACTCGAATCGGTGTGTCACCAACAAGAAGAGAGAGACTGAGAGATAGGGGCCTTCTCTCTCTCTCTCCATAAACCAGTGCTTAATTGGAACGAATGAGCGAAAAACGCGCATCCCCGGATGACTGCACTCCAAGTGCTCCAAGTGCCCCCGGCCGATGGAGCCGGAGAGTCCCGCGAGCGCACACGCGCAGGCGACGACGGGTGGGGCATTGCTCGAGCCAGAGGCGGCGAGTAATGGCGCGCTGCTGCAGGCGGAAGCAGAAGGCGCATTGCTGCTCTCCGGGTTGACCGTCGCAATTGTGGTTCTGGTTGCCTTCTTGCTGACTGGCCGCCGCTCCAGGCCACCGCTGCGGATGCCGCGGATTCGCAGCAAAAAGGTTGCCTCTAGCGAGCACGCTCCCCTGTGCATCCTCACCCTGGACGGCGGAGGCATGAAGGGGCTTGTGCTGGCCACGCTGCTGGAGGCGATAGAGGAGCGGACGGGCATACCAATCGGCGGTCTCTTTGACCTGGTGGTGGGCACGAGCACGGGCGGCGTGGCCGCAATACATGTGGCATTCGCCTCTGCCCTAGGGGAGGGTTGCAGGGATTACCGTGCCAGCCTCGAGCGCGTGAGGAAGGTGCTTGAGCAGCGGAGCAAAACAAACCTGCTGGTGACGGGGCACGAGTGCACGAGTGCCGCCGCTCGCCAGGTCGCTCAGTCGTGCGCACCCGCCAGGCGACATGGGGCCGACCCCGCTCCGCGACCTGCGCCACCTTGCGAGCCCCGCACCGCGACGCCTCCGCACGTAGCGGTCGTGACCGCGTTCCACGAGGGTGGAGGGTGGCAGCCCTTCTTGGTGCGCAACTATGAGCTCCCCTATTCCAGTGGCGAGACGTCCGCTCCGAGAAGCCCTCGCTCCTACGCCAATCCCGGAGCGATCGACGGGGAGTCGGACTGGCCTATCGAGGATCTTGTCCTCGCCACGACAGCGGCGCCGGGCCTCTTCCCTCCCGTCGAGCGAGGAGGGAAGGTGTTTGTGGATGGCGCTGTGGTAGCGAACAACCCGACGAAGCTCGCTATCCGCGAGGCGCGACGCCGCTGGCCTGGCCGGCGGATCGGCATCATCGTGAGCCTTGGGACGGGGCAGATGCGTCAGGCACAGGCGCCGATTGCGAGGACGTCGAGCCCAGCCTCGTACTGGATTCCGGCCATGCTCGACATGGCCTTCGACAGCAACCGCACGCACGCCGACGTGCACGACACACTCCTGCCAGCGATAGCCAACGAGTGCGGCCACCCTTTCTACTTTCGGATCCAGCCCACGATTGAAGACGCTACGATGGTGACGACGATCCCGAGGAAGCTCGCCGCGCTGCAGCAGCAGACGCGCGCGTTTGCCAAGTCGATGTCGCACGACCTCGACAAGATCGCCGCGTATCTCCTCCTCGCCGCGGCGAGGCCGGCCTTCCTCCCCACCCCTGCTGGGGCGGCCGAGGCGGAGCGCTTGTGCGGCGACCATTGCTGCCACTGGGAGACGCTGAAGGGCTTGGCGGCGCTGCGCGCGAGGTGCTCGGCCACGCCCCCAGGCTGAGTGGGCAGTGCTCTACTAGCTACTTCGACTAGCTACTGGTGGCAGAGCCGCGTACGGTAGTTCACACACCGTTCCGGAACACCGTTTTATTGATATCATGATATCATGCAATAACGTGTGTTATGCGAACTCCAGCCCACATCGTGGTGTTCGTGGTGCGGTCTTCGCTTTCGGGGGCGTTTAGGGCGGGGTCGGGGAAGGGGGGTGGGGTCGGTCGCGCTGGTGGCCGCGCGGCAGTGGCCGCGGGGGGAGGGGGGGGGGGGGGAGGGGGGGGAGGGGGAAGAGGAGGTGGCGCCGACCGCAATGGCGGCCGTCCCGACGCGGGCGCCGGGCGAGACTGCCGTGGATCGTATGGAGTCTCACTTCAACGTCGGCGATGACATGGGCACGAGAGAATGAGTCAAAGCACGCCGGCCGCCGCCGCTCATGAGGCCGGCGCCGAGGACGCGGGCAGTCGGCGCTGGACGGCGGGTCTCATCCCTGCGTTCGTGTACCTGGTGCAGAGCGCTGGCTTCATCCCGATTGGTGAGCCTCTGCGGTGCGCCGTAGCACTGCCTCCTGACAGCGGAGAGCAGGCTCACGAGCTTATAGAGCTGGTCGATCAGGCCGAGCAGCCGTATCTGCTCTCGCCTGTTCACAGCTGAAGGCGTGAAGAGAGTCAGCGTTGTGGGTCTGCTCGAGTCGGCAGCATTACCTCTCTGCTCGCTCGGGGTCATCCTCTAGCTGCACCCGACCGTGCCGCACAGCTTGAGCCGCCCTCCAGCGCTTGCGGGCGGAAGCGGCACCGAACTTACCGAGGCAGCGGACTCCACTCAGCAGCGCAACGGTGCCGGACAGGAGCAGGGCCGAGGCCAGACCTGTCGGCCCGTCTGCCGGCAGCGCCGCGTTGCCAAGTACGGCTTGGAGGACTGCGCCCATGCTCACCCGGAGGGTCGGCGGCGGCCCGGGCGGCGGGGACGGAGGCGGCGGGGACGGAGGCGGCGGGCTCGGTGGCGGGCTCGGTGGCGGCATGGTGGGTGGCGGCACAGAAGGCGGCGGGCTCGGCGGCGGCGGCGACGGCGGCGAGGAAGGGGGCGGCGGCGAGGGCGGCGAGGAAGGGGGCGGCGGCGGTGGTGAGGGCATCGGCGAGGGCGGCGGCGGTGGCAGGGCCGGCGGCGACGGCGGCGATGAGGGAGGGCGTGTGGGCGGATTCGGCGGACGAGGTGAGGGTGGCGGCGGCGGTGGCAGAGGCGAGCGCGCCGGAACGAACGGGAGGAAGTAAGGGATCGTCCTGCAGACGGGGCGCGCGGGCTCAGCACGCGGCACGGCGTGTCCGCTCGTCGCTGGGGAGAGGGCACGCGACGCGGTGTGCAAGACCAACAGTTGTTTCAAGAGAGGCGCACACACTCGCAGCCAGCGCTGTTCCACCTCGGGTCGCAAGTCGAATCGTAGCCGATGGTTATATGGTCGTTGCCCGGCTCGTGGATTTCATCGCAAGCGGCGGTGATGTTGGGGACGAAGCTGCCGTCGCAGCTCACGATGCTCTTGCGCTCCCTGTCAGAGAGCAGGGTACCTCCAGCAATCTCAGTGACCTGGAGGCAAAATGCGACGCCGTTGGAGCAGTGCTGATACGTGCAGAGCCCTGAAGCCGTGAGTACAGAAGATGTTTGGCACGAGCAGCACGATAGGACACCGCACGCGTACTGCAACAGGTTGTTGCAGGTGTTCTCGTGACATAGCTTTCCGTCACCGCCACAGAACTCATTGGGACTGCAACATGCGCCGTTTCCCTCGGCCACGAGGGCAAGGAGAATGGAGAGCTTGAATGGCATATGCTCTCGTCTGGAGAACATGTACCTCCCTGGCGACCCGGTCCAAACGCGACACAGCTCGTGGCGACGTATGAAAGCCAGATTGTAGGGAACCCCGTTGTGAACAGGGCTGGCCGGGCGGGTCGCCGTGTGGAGGGAGCAGGTGGTGCGGGTCATGGAGGCGGACGCCAAGGAGGAGAAGGCGGAGGCGAAGGCTCGGCAGAAGGAGCGCGTCGCCGCCATCCTCGCGCGCACGGACGCTGCGGGCGCGGGCGCGGGGGTGGGAGCGGCCGCACCCACTGCTCGTACCCCCCCCGGCACTTTTAAGGGCTGGCCGGACCCCCCCCCCCCCCCCCACCAGCAGCGCTCTGCTGCTGGGGGGGTCGGGACCCCCCCCCAGCAGCAGCGCTCTGCTGCTGGGGGCACCAAAACCAGTGGTCTCACCGGCGTACCCTCCTACTGCCAGCCGGGCGCGGGGCACGCCAGTCTCTCTTCTACGCCTCTCGTGCCGCGCGCGTTTTCGAAAAAAGAAAAGTGTATCGGCTCCACTACGACAGCTAAGTCGATCGATTTCGACGAGCGAGCGATCCGAGGATCGAGCGGGGGACCGATAGGCTAGGGAGATCAACGCTGATCGATCAACGTCAGCCGAGACGCCCGAGTGAGTGGCTCACTATACGGCTTTTAGTGTGGTAGTACAAGATAGACTCACCATGGTCACATCTCACAAGTCTTTAGTAAAACGCCAGCACTCGACACGACGAAGGTGTATTGGGCTCGAAGGCGCGGTGAACACAACCGACCAAAATCTAGCGTAGCACTGAAACACGAGCCGAGGTGGGAGGGGGCGGCGGCGGCGAAGAGGCGGGAGAGCTGGGTCCAATGCCTTCTGCTGCTGGGGGGGTCGGGACCCCCCCCCCCTAGCAGCAGCGCTCTGCTGCTGGGGGGGTCTGCTATCTGGGCAGCCGCGGCCCGAGAGAATAGAATTCAGGTTTCGTCCCCCCAGCTGGTCCAGCGTCCGTCCCTCCGAAAGACAAGAGTTAATGCGTGAACAGGGACGAGCGACCGATCGAAGAGGGACGCGCGAACAGGGCCCTGTTTATTGAGTTTATGATTGAGGTTTATCAGTTCAAATAAACGCGCGTTTAATTGAACTTCACGCGGGAGCGGGCGATCCTGTTAAATAGTCTTAAATAGTCGTGAACCAGGTGTGTTTATAAACTCTTAGTTAGTCCGTGTTTATAACATTCACACACTGATAATTCTTTCAGCCTCCTGGAGATGGACATGGGAAGCCCACGCGAGCAGTGGCTGTGGCCGCACCCCCCCACACAGCTTTCTGAATGCTCGCCGACATTCAGCGTGCGAAGCTCGCGGCGCTGATCGAGTCGTCTGCGGCTCGCGCCGCCGAGATGTTGAAGCAGGAGGCAGAGGAGCACGAGGCAGAGGAGCACAACGAGACTACGACGACTCGAGACGAACACTTGCTCGACACCACCTCCTCGCGCTCTCACTCTCACTCCAGCCGCCGCTCCTCCTCGTCTCGCTCGCACTCGCACTCTGCTGGCCGACGCTCGCGGGCTTCCACCATGGGCCGCCGGCTCGGGCTCCTCTCGTCGGCGCTCAGCACGGCCAGGAGGGAGGAGGCGGCGCTGAAGCAGCTCTTGGCGCTGGCGACCGTGGGCCGCCGCTCACCCATCTCTGCCGTCGAGCATGCTGCCGCGGTCATCGCCCAGGCTGCCGCCCGGGCGAGGGCGAGGAGGCGACGCTTCGTGCGCTGCCGCGCCGCCGCCGTCCAGGTCCAGCAATGGATTCGCGCGCGCCGCTCGGGCGCGGTCAAGGAGTCTCCCTTCCAGGTGACCGTCCGGAGGCAGCTGGCGCTCGTCTCGCTGCTGCCTGCTGCGGGGACCACCGCCATCGCCGGCGTTATCCTCTGGATGAACATCGCGCACCAGCGGACGTCGACCGTGTGCCTCGGCCTCTCGCTCGTCGGCCTCGCCCTCTCCGCCGCGTGGCAGCTGCGCCCTCGCGGCGCGCGCGCCTGCCCCGCCTCTGGTCCCGAGGGTGCAGACGAGCGCGCCTCTCTCCACCGCAGCAGCTGTGAGCAGGCGCGCGGCTGCTTCGGGTCGGGCCGCTCGAGGTGCGGGAGACGACCGGCTTCGTCGTCCTCACCGTCGCCTGGGTCCTCCGTCACCTCGGCCGCCTCCACCTCATCCGCACCGACCCGCTCGCTGCCACCGCCGAGGCAGCCGTCGTCGTCAGGGTCGTCCCCTCCCTCTACTTTTACGCGGGCTGGCTCTTCGGCCTCCTGCCCCCCGCCTGGCGCCGCCACGCAGCCTAGACACAGCCGAGACGCAGTGCCGTGCGCCTGAACAGGCCTCCTGCCCGCCTCGCGCCGCGTCCGCCTCAGCTGCCTCGCCGCCGTCGCGCTCGCCTCGGCCGCCGTCCACGTCCATTTCGCGTCGCTGCGCGGCGAGTCGGTGGCGCGCTGGCTGGCGTGTGGCCCCGTCACCCTCCTTGCTTGCGCCGCGGCCGCTCGGATCGTCGTTCAGACCGCACTGCACCGCACGATGCAGCGCGAGCGGACGGTCTCCGAGATTGGCGCCGTGCTCGACCTGCACGGCCGCGGAGGCGAGGGCGGCGGCGGCGGCAGCGAGGCGATCGTCGATACGGCGCGCATCGAACTCGAGTGGTCGCAGGGCGGATTGCGTGAGCGGAGCTGTCTCCCCCTCGGCGCATGCTCGCCCTGAGCCTTCTCGGATCCCCTCGGCGCAGGCCCGCTGCTACGGATCAACCTCTTCCTCGGCTGGTGCTCGGGCGCAGGGACACTCCTCTACCTCGTCAGCCAGAGCCGCGGCGAGACGGGCGAAATGCGGCGCGCCAAGGAGGCACAACCCGCGCTCGAGGCGACCTCGGTCCTAGCCGTCTTGGGGATCATACTAGTCGTGTTAGTCCTCCCGCTCGCGACGCTCCGCCACGTCCGACCCGCCGGCGACGGGCTGCCTGCAGTCATTACCTCCATCGTGTCTGGCAGGCTCACCGCGCACCTGCCGGCGACAAACCCACAGCTCGAACTCGCCTCACTCGCCTCCGGTCGCTTTTTGCCAAGGGTTGGCCCCCTTTTTTGGGTTCGCCCAAAAGAGGGCCCGGCGGGCCCGGCGGCGGCGGGCCCGGCGGGCCCGGCGGGGGCGGGCCCCCCGGGTTTGCCCT